GTTGGGTTTTCCCAGCACCTCATTCCTGCTGGGGACCAATTTGGGAGGGGTGGCTGTAATGGTACAGGGAGTGTGGTGAGGATGGGGCAAGCGCAGCAAAGAGAGCAGCGTTCTCCAGGCAGTCCCCAAATCTCATGAGGTCAACACCCCCAGCATCCCTTCAGCTGGACCTGGAGCCCTCATCCCTGCAGGGTGGCAGGAGCCTCTCCTGGGTGGGTGGGAAGCAGGCAGGAACAGTCAAATGGCACCAAGGAGGTGCTATAGGAACCCAGCAGCACCTGTTCCCAGCACCCAGCCCCATTCCTGGGGGTCAGTCCTGCTCACCCTGGGGTCCACACCATGCCAGTGCTGCAGAGCATTGGCTCCGTGCCCGCCCCTCAACCCTCCACAAGTGGGGTTCTTATCCATGGCAGCTGAGCTCTGACACCACACCAAGGGAGAGCGAGGTGCTGGGCACGGTGTTGGTGCTGGGCTCTGCTCCTTGGGCTCCCACATTGCTCCTCTTCATCGCCTCTTCCTCCGGCTGCGAGCGGGGAAAAGCTGGGGTTTGGGTTTCTTGCTGGGTTTCTTTTAAGGCAAACCTCATCCTTTACATCAAAGTAGGATTTCTTCTCAAGAATGTAAAGAATGACCCTGGAAGGTCTGAGCGGCTCTTTGCCGGCGGTGACTGCAGAGACCAGAGCCCTCTCCAGAAAGCTGTCTCCACCCTATCCCCAGCAACAGCAATTCATAAGCTGAAAAATAAATCAATAACCAGAGTTAATGAATTGAAGATGTCTGTGTTTAAAATGTATCAGGAAAAAAACTGTTAGCTGGCTGGGGCTGGCTTAATTATTGTGAGGAAAGGCAGGGAGCTCTCAGTTCTGAGAAATACCTTTGCTTTTTCTTTCTTTTTTTGGAGGTATTTGGTTTGGTTTAAGGAGAGGGGAGGGAGGGGGAGGGGGGGAGGGAGAGGGAGAGGGAGAGGGAGAGGAAAGGAAGTTTCTGCAAGGCAGGCGCCTCCTGAGCAAACCTCAGTGCCAGTTCTCTGCCACTGGGCTTGGAGACAGTGCAGATGTGCCTTGGGACAGCAGCTCTCCTCTGGAGAGGGCTGGAGTGGAGAGGGGTGTGCAACATGTTCCCAGAGCCTGCGGATGCTCTTTTCCCAGGTCCCAGGGATGTCTGGGACATCCCACCTGGTGGGAAGGGGCTTTATTAGCACAGACAGGTCCTTCAGTTGAACCCATTTGCTCCCACACATTTCTGTTTTCTCCTCTGACACCTCTCCAGTGTGAGTTGGTTTCTGTGTCAGTCCTCCTCAGGGAAGCTGTCCCAGTATCTGGGAGCCCCATCTGGGAGGCCACAGGGGCTCCAGGGTTTCTCTCAAGGAGTGTGTGGCCAAGGCAGGGATCAGCTTTGATTCTCTCCAACGAGGTGTCGCTGGCTGTTTCTCCAGCATTGGCCATCATCAGTTGGAGTCTGAGCAGGAATGCACAACCTGGAGAGGTGATTTTGCTGCAGAGGGAGCAGGACCTGGTGCTCCCAGCCTGCCAGGCTGCACCTTCAGTTGGCAAACGTGGGTCTGTGCTGGTCCTGGCCTGCTCAAAGAAGGCTAAACCTGCTGCTCCTCTGCTTCCCACTCCATCCCTGTGCCACTGACCCTCTGGGAGCCCCCTCCTTTCAGTGCTGAGCATCTCCACAGATGTGCCACTGGGAGCCGGGCACTTCAGTGCCATTAACGCCTCTCCTCTCCCCTCCCCAGGTCGGAGAGCAGCCTCGCTAGGTTTGCCCACCGCTTGTCGGTGAAGCAGAAGCAGGAGAAGAGAAGGAAAGCTGAGTATGCCTCGGCCGAGCTGTCTGCATTCCGGCCCAGGTCTCTGAGCATTGAATGGTAAGAGCTGCAGGACAGGGCTGGGGGAAGGAGCTCCTGCCTCTCCAGTCCCCCTCCTGTCCCCTTTCCCCCCTGCTGCGTCTCTCTGTCCCTGTGGAAGCCATGTCCCATGGGACAACACCCCTTCAAACCCCTCCACCTGCTGCTGAGGCTGCCCCAGGGTATCGCCCCAGAGCATCCCCCTTGCCCCAGTGCAGGGAGCAGTGAGGAGCCCCAGAGGCTCTTTCCTTGGGAGGTTGAAGGAGACCCCACAAACTGAGCCATGAGAGTCCTTCAGGGCTCACGTGGGTGTTGGAAGTGTGTGTGTGCTGGGGCACGTGAGCACACAACCTCTGGCAAACACCACCACTGGTGCTTGCCTTGCCTTCCCTTCCTTCCCCTCTCAAACCTTCCCAAACCTTCCCTTCCCAAACCTTCCCTTTCCAAACCTTCCCTTCCCAAACCTTCCCTTCCCAAACCTTCCCTTCCCAAACCTTCCCTTCCCAAACCTTCC